AAAGAAAGAAAGAAAGAAAGAAAGAAAGAAAGAAAGAAAGAAAGAAAGAAAGAAAGAAAGAAAGAAAGAAAGAAAATCATTTGTTTTGGCGTCATGCAGCTTTAAATGTGAAACCAATAACTCTGCCTTTCAGGAACAGATTTGAAAAGTATTTTTTGTTATTATTTTCAGGTCGTGTTATTTTTAAAATATTTTCATCACATTGATGATCCTAGGTGGCCCCCAGGCTTAGAGGTAAACATAAAACACCAGAATGAGTCTTTTTGTCTTAATCATGTCTTATCGATTAAGGACATCTGTCCATTATCTAGTTACTGTGTGTTGGTTTGTTTCAAGTTAAACTTCGGTAACATGTAAAATGTATCTGGTATTTAATAGCGGACAATACTAATTATTTTAACTACGATTAAAGGACCCAGTCTGGACCTGGACACGTTTCTATTTTAAGTTGTTCTCATATTACATACCATTATGTTCGCTTCGTGCGGAAAGGTGATGCGTTTCTTTGCACATCTGGATATAAAATTACAAATAACTGTTCAGCTAACCTGTTCTATGGGAAGCAAAGATGCAATAGAACTGTCTGCCTACTAATCTAAACCCTTTTACTTTGTGTTGCTTGTCTCCAGTTTCCATCTCTCTTATTTTGAGGCAGAAATACCCTCAGATCGACAGAATGTTGTAGGTTTTGGCTTGGATGTTGTTGTTTTTGTCATTGTACTTTTAGGTCCACTTTAACGACTGGACTGGACAAATAGTCAAACTGGATGGATTCTCCTCTCAACCTACTAATATAATGCAAATTACACTTTTTCACTCTTTAAATGGACTGGTTTCAAGTGGCGGTCGAGGTTGGGGATAGTTAGATATAATTTTTATTTCAGCTTCTGAAATGTTTTAAATCGTATTTTGATTACATCTTATATTTCTTCAGCATTAAAATGTACAACTTAGAGATAAACTAGGATGACAAAAGATCAAAACGTAGATACAGTGGCTACGTTAAAAACCCAATAATAAACAGTAGAAAACTGTAATCAGGTGAGGTTTGCAATAAGCAGCAAGCATATCTTAACGCACATATCTAGTTTAATATTTTACATATTCCCGGTTTACATGGGCAAACTGAACTCACTGAACTCGCTAGTTCGCCAAAATTATCCAACGATAATTGGGTCTGATATGGAGGACTGGCAGGTTCTGATTTCTAAATTAGGGACAGGAGAGAAGTTCGACGAGGAGAAGAAGCTGGAGGCTGCAGGTACAGAATATGTTTCTTGGTGCAGTTGGAGAGAGATTGACGGCAAGGCCCAACAGGCAGGCTGATCAGAGAATTAGGGAGATTTCTCTGTATTGCAGACTATTTCAAATTCACCCTGTCTGCCACTCACTCGATGGTTCAGTAGTCTTCCCCTCTGCTTCTCGGTCTCTATTTTTAGCTAGCCCTCGCTCCCATCCATTCTGCTTTACCTTCTTTCTCCCTAACTTGTTTGTTTCTGACTCCCTCGCTTTGACTCTGCGTCTCTGGAATTCCGATCTCTCTCCTTTTCTCCTAACCTGTATGTTTGATCACGTTTAAGCATCTCCTTTTTTCCTGACTTTCAGCCTCCTCCTTCTCCATCTGGCTTCTGACTCAGCTTCCCCTTGCTTCCATTCAGGCTTCTCTTCCTCTCTCGAATTCTGACTCCCAGGCTCTATTCTTTCTTTCTTTCCCCCTCCCGCTCCCCGGGCTTGGGGGCTCCTGTTCGCAGAGCGGCACGCGAACCGCACGCGTTGTCAACAAAAGCCCCTTTCACGGCTCACTGCCCCCATGCAACGTCCCAAATCTGCTCCCCTCTGCTGCCCGCTTGCAGCTCATCTGCTGGCGCCTGCTCCTGGCCTGACGGTTACTTCGGCAGCAGGAGCAGAAGGAAGAATCACCGGCTGAGGGGCACGCAATGGGGGAGGAGGGAGAGAAGCGGGGAGGGAGCAGGGCAAGACGGGCTGGAAAAACAATGGGGCAGGATTGGACTTCTGAGTCCAGCAATGCTCGTCTGCTTCTCTGCACTGCTGTGACTTTCCCCAAAGGAGGTGTCTTTCCTTTATTAAAACAAAAGCAATTCCCAACGTCCAGAAAGCGGCAGGTCTCTAGCATTCGTTCCCTCTTTCCCCGCTCAGCTGAGCTGCTAAGTTAACAGCTAACACAGAGCAGACAATCGGGGCGAAAGATTTACAGATTCGGCTTTGTTTTTTTTTTTTAAGAAAGACAAATCAAATGTACCAGAGCAAATGCTTTCGAAAATACAGGGACCTGTGTGTTGCTGATCGAGGAGAAGAGGCGTAAGAAGGCATGGAAATGCTGTTAAAATGCCTTACAGTTGTCCAGAGTGAAAAATCCGTCCCAGGGAAATCTCCTGGGTTTGCTGCATTATCTTAATTAAGATAATTGATTCATATTGCACCTGCGAGAACGAAGAAAAAAGGACACCCCCCCCCCCCAAATAGCTTTAAGCTATTGGAGAGAGGAAGCCTTGCTTGTAATTTAGTGAATGATTTACTATATCAACAGCCCGGTTTGCCTGTCTCTCTTGTATTTGTTATTTACATTTTCTGCCGTCTTCCCAAACAACGAACGGGATCAGACAAGGACAGAACATGAGTGTTTAAAATAAAAAGTTGCCAATATAGAATCCCGCCACCCCCAGCCGTTGGTGGATGTTGCCACTTACAGCTCATTAAAAAAGACTTAGACGGGCTTTGTATGTTGGTTAAGGAGTTTGGAGGCGTCCCCATATTTGCAGTGGTTTGATCAAAGGTCTCCCACCTGTTTACAGTAGGGTTCGGAGCAGATTGCAGCCCGAATGGGAACCCAGAGCCAGGTAACAGACAAAGGCCGATCTCCCAGCAAAAGCGTTCGATAGCGGGTTGGGATTTTTAATCTTCCTAGACTGGGAGCAAAGTTGAAATGGTCCCTGTTAGTTTACATTCTGGACAATTGTGTGGCCAGCCAATGAATTTGATAGCAAAAATCGGAGGGGCAAACAGGGAGCAAATCAGCACCAAGGCCAGCTCCCAGTGTCAGTTACCCGATCTAGGCCACCGGACGTTACCTCCTCCCTCCACCGCTGTTTACATATCTCAAATGGCTTCCCTTCTCCGTTATCGTGCATGAACTTTTAAAGAGAGGAACAATTTTAATTCCCCATTTCAGTGAAATCACCGGCCCCCATCTTATTTCCTTTAAACGACTGTAGATTACTACAAGTGAAAGTACGACACACGCAATCACAGTGCAAACT